TTCTGGGGACAGTTTTCCACCAAATAATAATCTTTTTTTCTTAAACCACAAATACAAAATAGGGGACCCGGTCAAATGAGAAGGGGCCCCTGGCCCTTGCCCGAAAAACAAACCCCTTCCCCTTCCCCCCCACCCCGGGAAAGGGGCCCCCCCTCCGGGGTGTGCCCCGAGGCCGCTGCGCGGGCGGCGACCGCGGGAGCCTCAGGCTGTGCCGGGAGTGCCTGGGAGAGAGGACTGAGGCGGAGGGCGCTCGCCTGGGCCATGTGCTCGGGTCCGAGCGGAGTGATGGCCACGCCGAGGTCAGCGCCCAGGTCCCGAGGGCGGAGGTGCGTGGCTATGGCGCGAAGTTGGGAGTGGGCGGGCGGGCTGGCCAGCGCTGGGAAGCCTGTCATATTCTGAAGAGGCCTGGCCTGAGCCGGTGCCAAGTCCGCTAATCTCAACGCTGGCGGGTTCCTCTTGCTCAAAGGGGGCTCCATCAGAACCACACAATCAAACCCATAGGCTCTCGCGGGGGTGACTTTTTTCCCCCTCTGCCCTCCTCCAAAAACATGTATATATTAGGGGCTCTTTAACTTCTTTGTCCTGGTCTCCTAACTCTGCTCATTCCCGTTCCCACTCGGTCCTCCAGCGATTGGCAGAGTGCACACCACATTTGAGCTGCACAGTGGGACCAAGATTTTGGAAATGGCACGGGTGGGATTGGAGCGAGCCGCGTGATTGGCAGCAGCTGCGGCTGCCCGATTGGCTCCCTTTCAGACCCTCGGCCCAGCGGGAAGCCGCCCCGCTGCTCGCGGCCGCCTTAGCTCTCGCTTCGCGCCCCCTCCTCCCCTGGAGCCCTGCATCCCCCACCTCCCCGGGGATGTCCAAGTTGCACTCGCAGAAAGTTTGCGCTGGGCCTGCGCGCGCAACGCTCGGCGTTTCCCAGAAGCTCCTGGCGGAGAGCGTGCGCCGGCACGCGGCCGGAGGGCGAGTGGTGGCTGAGGGCTGGGGACCCCCGGGGGGGACAATAGGCGGAGGGGGGGGGCAACTTCAAACCCCCCCCCGCCTCACTGCACGCAGAGCCCCTTCCCACATCCACACACTAGGCTACGCCGAAGAAAGGGTGATTAGATGTTCGCCCGTCTTCGTACTTGTGGAGAGGATGCTAGAACCTTGTTTGCGAAGGACACCAATCTGCCAGGCGCTCACGTAGGGCTCACAGGAGACGGAATGAGGAAGGGTATTAAAATCCTATTGGTTGTAAAACAATCTGAGCAGTTTGGCTCCGCCAAACACCAAGTGAAGTCAAAATACATCTTTCCCAAAAGGAAACGTTTTACCTCGACTTTTTAGCTCATGGAGTCCTTTTCAATATGCTTCAAAGGAGTTGGCTCGAAATGTAATCTCACTGCTCATCGGTTCTGGATCTGCCACTTCCAATTAGATCTGGGGGGCGGAGGAGGCGGGACTTTGGGCAGCGATTCTAACTTTTGCCTCTGGGAGATACAGTGGCGGGGCAGGCCAAACAGCATCTCTCCAGAAGGAAGCAACCAAGTAAATAATATCCTTTAAGCAGAATCTCTCCTTCCAGTCCAGAATGTACTCCACCTGTGTGCCTCAGTGTCTTTGAAAGGACCATGAATTAGAATTGATCCAAGAAAATAATTTTTAAGTCAAGCAGTGTCTTCGTTATATATTTACTAATTGAATAGACTTTTACCTTGCTATCAATTGTCTAATAATAAGCTGAACTAGCAAGAGAGATGTTTTATTTAAAAACCATAAACACTGGTTTTTTTTAAAAAGTGAAACCCATGTAGTTCAAATGATTTGCCATCAAAGTAGTTTAAAAAGGGTTCCTGCATCACTTTTCGGAGGGGCGGGGAAGAATTGTTTCATCCCCCAAACTTTAGGGTTCTTACTGCCCAGTGTGTCACTCAGCTTTAAAAAGTAAAGCTATTAAAATTGTGTGATGTTCCAAGATGCTCAAAATTTAAAGTCAGGTTTTCATTTTCATTTTGTTGCCCTGCATAAAATTATTTGAAAAAAAATTGACAAATGATTTTTTTTCTTTTGGGATACAATGAAACGTTATTAGTGTAATTCATTTTCAGTCCACACAAAAATAGACTGCACAAGCCATCCTCTGGGAGATGGACCTGGAAAGAGGTAAGACATATTTTCAAAAGCCCTGATTCCATAGCCCCATTTACATTGATGTGAACAATGTTTAACCGGAAACTTCCCTGTGAGCCCAGGAAATGTCATTTCTCTTATAAAACTTACAGCCAAACAAATAAAAGACAATCAAATTTCAAATGTTTTGCTTTTCTTTAATTGTTGGTGAAATTCAAATATGGGGGAATAAAAAAGGCATTAGTGCAAACACAACAAAATTTTTTTAAAAATAAACAACAGTGACAAAATCCACATCCGTACCTGGAAAGGACAAGATCTTTTACAATTTCGTTTTAAAGACTCAAAACCATCTCAAGCCAGCCAGGCAAAGGTGGAGCAAGGACTGTGCCATCTCTATGGATGGTTTATAGGGAAAGCGACATATTTGGGGTTGTCGCCACTGTCTTCATTACCTCTCAGAACATTTCAAGTGAGTTCCCTTTATTTGAATTCCTTGGCAGTGAGCGTCAATACTTCCATAATGGCAGCTTTACGTTCAATTCTGCAGGTTATAAGTAAAAACAAAACAAAAAGAATGAATAAAGAAGAAAATAACCACAACATAACCTTTAATATGGACTGTTGAGCATTTTTATGGTGCAATAAAACGAGTACCTCCACCCCCTTCAAAATAGCTTTTCCTCAAAATTATAACTGCTTTGTTTTATTGAATTGCTGAAATTTAATGGTTTAATGAGTGAAGGCATGAAGGAAAGGCTGTAAAAATGTGAATAATGGTGCAGCAGAGCCCTGCGGAATCTGGAACCCGCCTCCTTGTACAACTCTTGTTAAACACAGCATGATGTGTATCTGTCATCGATTTAATATGTCTTAATTCAAATATAGTCCCCTGATCAATTTCTTTTTATGGAAGCCTTAAAAAAGGAAAGACTTTCTTAGGAAATAATCGAGGTTTGGGTGGCGATTGGAAAGAGGGATATTTACACAGTGCGTTTAATGAATATTTGCAAATTTATGACTCAACCCAGACCCTAAAAAGATAATTGACTCAGGTAAATCGACTTGAAATGCTAATTCTTAAAAGGAAGAACTGGGAACAAAATTCAGTCAACACCAATAAGGCGCCAATAAACTGCCTGCCAATTAAACCTGAGAATAGGCCTAGCTAGACGGTTCTCAGGAAGGCTCCCAGTGAATTTCCGGGATTGCCTTTCTTTATAAAAGAGCTTTTTATTTTGTAGACGCGCTTTTTGTTATTATGATGACCCGCCTAACCCCAGGTGCGCTGTTTCTTTTTAAAGCCTTTTGGGAGCCAAATCCACCCCCCTTTAACATCCCAGTAACTGTGTCATACTTCCTAAATAAACACCGACCATTTCCAGGGCGTTGGAGAAAATACTACTAGTTAAAGGGGTTGGGGGTGGTGTAGAAGTCTTCATGCCAGTTCTGTGGGCTTAGCCCCATATTTCCTCAGTGGTGCCGGCAGTCAGGGCCGATCCTCAAAACTCATGCCCTTGTCTGCGCTTTTGGGAGCAGCTACGTGGCAAGACATGGAAATGCCCTTTCTGGGGTCAACAGGTCCTCCTGGGGAGCACTGATTTCCAGACTTCACTGTTGCACCCCGAACCCCACCCTCCTCCCAGCCCCAAACAAAGGCGCGAGGAGGCTGAGAGGTAAAAGGAAAACACAGAGCTGGCCCGGAACCACCCTGCACTCAGCTGCCTGGAGGCGACGGGACGGGGTCGCTGGAGGTGCCCAGGCCGGCGCTGAGGCTTCCCGCTGCGCAGAGTGGGACTGCGGCTCCCCGGTGCCCTCCGTTCGTCGCTGAACGCAGTGTATTAATTGTGTGGGCAATGAATAAACTCTAAGGGAAGTGGATTGGACATTTCCTGGCCTTTGAGCCTTTGTGTGATGGTTTCTGCAGGCGGGCGAGGGGGTACGGCCAGGGACGGTGAGGGAGACCCGGAAAGAGCAGGAGGACCCACCTAGCTGCCTTTTATTGCCCTTGCAATTGCTTTACTGCTCGCCAGTCCGCAGTGGTTTTCGCGAGAGCTGCCTCCTTGCAGAAGGGCTGGGTGCCTGGCGAAATTGGAGCGCCTAGTGCCATTTGGGCTGCGCCAGAGGCGGGTTCAAGGGCGAACACGGTATCCCGAGTTACCCCAGGGATTAAGGGAAGGACTTGGAGGCGCAGCCCAAAGGCGGCCGTGGGCGCTCCGCTGGGAGGAGAGTTACTAGCAGACACTGAGAACACGGGAGATACACTCGAGAACTCTTTAAGCCGAGGTGAGCTGGGCAGAGGGACCCACGAAGCTGCATCTTATTGAGCTTTATCAGGGCCGGAAGTGACAAAGACTTTGGGTTCAAGGGCTTTTTCCAAACGAGGCTCGCTAGGCACCTAGGCAGTGAGTTTCCCGCTGCCCGCCCCACCCGCACTCGGCAGGGACCAGATCCCTACCCTCCCACCCGCCCTCACCACGAGCGTTCTGACCCGGGGGCACCGAGACCCGCCCCAGGGGCCCGAGCGCTCTGAGCCCCGCAGCCCTCGGAGCGCCTCTGTGAGTGTTGCCTCTCTTTTCCTCCCTTTTGAGCTCGCGCCGAGTCCTCGGGCTTCACGGATACTGTGGAGCTAAGAATAACCAAAAGGTGCTTTTTGCTGAAGTTTATGATCCCTGTCACTTTTACATGGGCTTAACGAGGATTTTTTTTTTTTAAGCAGAAGATTGGAACTGTACAGCTGTGATTGGGATTTGTCTGTTGTCTTGGGTAGTCAAGAATTGGACACACCCCATGTCCACCTGACTTTAGTGGTTAAAAGCCCTCGAAAATGATGGCTCTCTATACTTCCCCACGATTAAAACAAAAATAAACAGAGTAAAATTGGCCTGTCGTCAAATATTCTCATTTGGTTATCAATCACTTTTGCCCTCAAAGATGGAAGTAGTTGGAGATTGGCCTTTGACCCACATTTCACCCGTTAGAATTGGTAAATTCTTGGGAAATGCCTAATTGTTGTGTTTTAAAATATGCTTATAAGGTCAAAACAGGAACCACAAAACTCCCTTATGTGTTCACAGTTCATATAACTACCCAGTATTATTATTTGTATTGGCTTCAAGATGTGTTCTTCTCCCCCTTCATTCTTTATCCTGAAGGATGTTTTTGGATGGGGGACAAAGGAGGAGCAGAGGTGCTGTGGTATGTTTTTTTAAGTCTCAAATTTTGTGGGGAGCCTCCACACACACATTGCACACCGCTTCCAATATCTGTACTTCAATATTTGAAGAAGCTGTTGAGAAAAATCAAATAGTGACACGTTGACGGATTTACTTGTGTAAGCAATATGGTTGACATATGGCATCGTTATTTATGAATGACAGCATAAATTGTATTACAAAGTCTATTGCAATAATACTGCAGTTTATTGGAAAGCTGCTTGCCTGTCACCAGTATTCAACCTCCCTGGATGTAGTCCGCCTGGGAGCCCAAAGGATAGCGGTCCTCAAAATAATTAAACACATTCGTGTAAGCTAATGCCTCCTGTTTTTCGGTTTGTTTTTGTTTTGTTTTGCAGCAGTAGAAACACTCCCATCAGGAAAGAGGAGACAAAGTAAGGACAACCAGTTTTCTTCCTTTTGCAAAACCACAACCACTGTGACACAGAAATGTTGGTGTCTATTATTCTCTGAGTCCCTGATGGCAAATACGCAAACATTTGCATCCCAATCACTAAACTGCTGGCGAGCATATATTTTATAGAGAGACTTTTTATAAGCCCAGTTACAGAATAGTAAATTTTAACTGTAGGAAGAAGAGAAGTTCTTTTAGCAGACAGGAGAGGGCCTTATCCTATGATACCTCCCCATCTCTACTCAACCGCTCCCTTCTCAAAAAATGGCATTTACAAGTTACAACATTGGCTGAGATTTTCACGATTTCCCTTTCTTTTATATTACACGTCTCTAAAGCTCTGACAAAGAACTTTTGTTCTATGTGGGTTTTACTGAGCGGGCTCCCCCCACCACACATGTGGTCCTTCATGGGTCAGGGGTCGCCCAGCCCAGGAGTGGCTGAGAGGGCTGAATCAAAGGTGACCTGCAACTTAATATCCTGTTGATGATCTTGTTGAATTTATGAGTCTGTGATACAGAGGATGGTGCTGAAATCCTTTTGTGGGGGGGCCTGGGGGTCTGGTGTGTACAGACAGCTGATTCTACATTTGTTCCTCCCATCTCTTCCCCCATATGCATCCCTTTCCCTAGGAGAAAATTTAAAACTTTGAATGATATAGCCACCAAGTGTTTCTGCTTTCCAGTTTAAAGGTTGGTTGGTTTGTTTGTTTGTTGTTGTTGGGTTTGTTTGTTTGTGGCGTCTTTCTTTCCTTCCTTCCTTCCTTCCTTCCTTCCTTCCTTCCTTCCTTCCTTCCTTCCTTCCTTCCTTTCTTTCTTTCTTTCTTTCTTTCTTTCTTTCCTCTCCTTTCTTTCTTTTTGGCTTCTGCTGGCCAGCAAGATATACCTGTGTGTGTGCATATTGTGTGTACATATGTATTGTTTTTATGTATATGTACACCCAAAATACTCATCATATACAAAAGAACGCAGTCAGCCATTCACAGAGGCCCACAACCGCAATGAGGTGCTCAGTGAACGAGGCCCGGGTGTTGGATGGGATTTTCTGATTTTTTAAGACACCCGGAATTCTCTGTCGCACTGCCATTCCCTCCATTTGCCATGACATGTAAGCCAGCCGGGGCGCCCAGGGGCCCACCAGGCGGGGTCATCCACAGACAGCAAACCCTCCACTCTCGCCAGCGTGGCGCAGGCTGCGTGAGATCTTCAAAGAGCAATTTTGGAAAACTTACAAAAAGGGGACTTGTTTATCCGATGGAGACAGTGGTGGGTCCCGCGGATCTGCCTCCGCCACAGAGGGTCCTTCCAGAAACCTGTTGAAAAAACGAAATCACTCACACGGTGCAGAACGCAGCCTGGCCGCTTTTTCCCCTTCAGCCAAGGAATCCAAATCTACTTTTGAGGCAATGGCTGAAAAGCCTTCACCGCCCCCCCCCCCCCCCACCCCCGGCTTTTGCTTTCTTGCGCGCGCTCTCTCTCGTTCCTTCCTGAAGAAAAAAAAAGAAAGAAAGAAAGAAAAGAAACACTGTGTCATGAGGGAAAGGCTTTGCGGTTTGTAGAGAAATAAAACACTTCTAAGAGGGGACGGCGACGTGACTTTGAACTTGGCTCAGCTCCTCTGTGTCCTGCAGAGAGAGGAGAGCTGGAGCGGAGAAAGAATAGCCAGGAGGGCCCAGCCTGCGGGGTCTCCGGCGGGAATTCAGGCGTCTGCCCCACTACCCCGCCGCGCGCGGCCCGCGGAATCCAGCGCAAAAGGGGGCCCAGCCGCGCCCGCCCCAAGTGCGGGCTGCGAAAGAGGAATCAAAACGAAAGGAGAGAATGGGGCAAGGCAGAGAGGGACAGAGCTGTGGGGAGGGGGCGAGAAAGTGGGAAAGGAGGAAAACTTGAAATCTGGTGGCTCGAAAGAAATAAAGGAAGTGAGGTTTTGGATGTGCAAAACGGCTATTCTCACGACGAACCTCTAATAAAACGTTTCTTTTGGGCAATATTTTTGGAGTGAGCTTTTCCAGTTATTCTCTCCCTCGCCCCATAGACATTGATGAGCAAAGTAAACAAGTGTGAAAGGCTGTGCAGTGGGCGATTTTTTGACTTCCTGTAGCAGGGGCAGCTTTTCTGACGGGAGGTTTCTCTCTCTCTTCTCTCCGCCTCAATCTCAGGTTCCTCTCTGTTTAGGGGAGCAGTTCGGCATGTGCCTTCCCCCATCCCTCTTTGTGCAGAGTGTGGTGTGTGGGAAAGAAGCGCATTTCCGCCTGGCAGGGAAGGCGAGCATCTCCAGCTACCAGGCAAACTCCTGGCTTTCCGACTAGCTGCTCCGGCCTGGCCTCCCTCTGACTCCTCCAGCGCTCGGTGGGCGCGGGGATGGGGACAGAGCGGGAGCACAGCGCCCCTAATGACAGGGGCTGCGGGGGGCTCCGACCTTGAGACCCACGAAAGCCGGGAGAGGCTGCCGGGGCCGGTGCTGGAGACCCCGGGTGCTGCTAGCAATAGCGAGCGAGAGTGGTCTTCCCGCGTTTTTGCCGGATCCATTTCAACACGAAAAATTTGAAATGCATATTGATTGTTTTCTCTTACTGGAATTTTATTTCAACTCCCAGCAATTTGTAAATAAAAGCAGTTCTCCTCAGACCTTGCATTCACACCTTCGCCGCCTCAGGGCCCGCGGTTGCCTCTCCCGTTCCCTCGGAAGCGCAAGCTTTCCCTCGCGGGACAGGAAATGTCTGCAGCGGTCAACCTGGGCCCGAGGTGGGGGGGGGGGGGGGTGGGCGGCCAGAGTCCCCTGGGCCGAAGGCCAGGGCGGGCACCGCAAGGGGAGGAGCCTCGCGGCCCCACCACCATGGGGGTAGGGGGAGTCGCCCACTCCTGGAGGAGTTATAAAGATCTTCTCGAAGCCCTACCAGCCTGGAGATTTCTTCTCCGGAGGCCCTGAGCCTGACCCGCGGCCGAACTCCAACCTGACAGAGCCTTGCTGGGCCTCGCGCCTCGGGCGTCCCCACACTTCCCACCCCACCATGGCAGCGGCCTGGGCTTCTGGGCATCTACCCCGAGGGTGACATTGTCTATAAACGAATTCCAAACGCTGATGCCCAGTGTTTACTGCTGTGATCGGAGCAGGGCGCAGGGCGCAGGCCGGGGGAGCGGAGCAGCGGGTGGGGGCCATGGCCCAGGAGGGGGCCGGTGTCTGGGTGGGTGTCCACAGAGCGGGAGGAACGGGCGTGTCTGGCTTTATCCAGGCCCATCATCCAGCACCTGTGTTTTCGAGACCACAGAGCAAGTTTACAAAATGGGGAGAAAAGAGGTTGGGAGGGTGCCCACCGATCACGACCTCGGCGCGCTGCCGGCGGGGCCCGGGGCCTGGGGTGTCCCCGCGCACAGGGCCTCCAGCCCCGCGGCCCGGTGTTAGCCACGTTCTCGAGCTGCCAGGGGTACCGGTTTTCGGTGCCCGTCGCTAGGGGCTCGGGGCCGCGGGGAGTCGGTGGCCTCCGCGGAAGGGCGCGAGTGCAGGGTGCCGTCCCCTCCCGGCCTGGCCGCGCGCTATGCCGGTCGCCAGGCACTAGGAGCGCCGCGGCCGGCGGGGGCCGGAGGCGCAGCGCCGAGAGCACCGGCTCAGCTAGGGAGGCTGGCAGGCCCTGGCGGCCGCTCCTCTCCGCCGCGGCAGGAGCGCGGAGGCACGAGGGAGGGGCGGTGGACCCTCCGCGGGGCGGGGGCGCAAGATTGACGGGGCCGCGGCGGCCAATGGCGGCGCTGGGAGAGCGGGCGGGGCGGGAGCCGCGGCGAAAGGGGCGGTGTGACCCGGAGGCCCGGCCTGGAGCTGGTGGGAGGGAGGCCGGGAAGGGAGATGCGAGGGCTAGGGAGGAGGGGGGAGGAAAAGGAGGAGACAAAAAAAGTAAAATAAATAAATAAATAAATAAAAGGCTTCGGCGTCGGTGGCGCCCACTGAAATAAACAGGCGGAGGCGATGGCGGACGGACCCCACCTCGGCTAAAAGGGGGGGACCTGCTTTGGCCTTTTCTCGTTTGCTTGGGCCGCGGATTCCGCTCCGTCCTCGCGGTTGCAGCTGGCCGCTTCTGGTCCAGTGCCCCAGGCCAACTGGAGAGAGGGAGCGAACAAGCTGGAGAGCACTTTTTTTTTTTATTGTTATCGTTTTACAGCCCCGACTCCCCCTCCTCCTCTCCCTCTGCCTCCCTTCTCCCCTCCCACAGCCCCCATCTCCTCTCCTCCTCCTCCCCTCCTCCCGCACAACTTAAAGAAAGAGGGAGCCGCGCGGCCGCTGCCTTCATCGGGGGGAATCCGCGGCTGCCGCAAGTTTGCTACGCCCAGCGCCGCCAATGCCAAGCGCGGAGGACGAGGAGGGCTAAACGCGGCGGCCGCGGCGCCGAACAATACCGGCCGCGCGCAGGAGGAAGCGGCCGACCGAGCGCGCCGCGGAGAAGGTGCCTGGCCTCCGCCCGCCGCCCCAGCGCCCGGGCGGCGGTCAGAAGGAAACGCGGGCGCGCGGGGCCCGGGCGGAAAGCTCCCAATACTTGACTGCGTCCTTTTCTATCCGGTCTGCCTGGGCCAGC